ATGCAATGAGGTAGGCCAAAAAGAGTCTTGGAACAAGTTGCTAAAGGAATGAAAACAATTAGTAAATACTCTTTGAAATGCATCAAAAGCAGGAAGCCTGCTGATATGTGATCCATGCGTACGTGGAGTGCCCAAGGAAGATAAAGTCTTAGCAGAGGAGAGAAACAAATTTTTGGCCATTGCTTCACTGAGGAAGAGTTAAAGGAGATTCCTTTGCAGGAGGCTTTTTCCTGTAAAGGGTGAGCCTTCTGGAGCATTTCTCCAGGACTGAAGTGTCTGTAAGAGAGGGCATCAGAACGAACCATTCAGAAGGATGAAGTAGATGGCAGGTGTTACTTGTTGAACAGTTTTGAAGGAACTTAAAATGCAAAATTGCCGATACTTTGCCTGTTGTGTGTAACTTGTTGCGTAGGCTTGTCTTGGTGCTCTGGGAACCTTGAAAGTGACTAATGAGCTGTCAGGCTTTCAAGGTTCCCAGAGAGGCTGAGAACTCCAGGGTGGTCATTTTTGTTTGCTTGTTTGTTTGCCAGGGATTAGTGAATGGGATTAGTGAATACAGGTATAAACATAATGCATTGACGTAGACTAGACCTGACTTTTGTTGGGTGTGTTGGGTGTCTTCTGGAGTTCTCTAAAGGCATTGCTGAGCTGTTGTTGGAGTCTGTTTGATACAGTCCTTCTTAGAGCAGGGCCAGTTTCAAAGCGGGATCAGATTGGTCTGGGTGGTATGGTTATGGTCAGTTTGCTCAATGCTAGTTGCCCCCTCCAAAGTCTGCCCAGGGTCTGTGCCTTCAATGGATGGAGGAAGGGTCAGGTGGTTATGTGACACGTTTGTGTTGGTTGTATTAACTCATTAGGAGAATAAAAATCCTGAAAGTGGAACCACAAAGACTGCGGAAGGATCTCATATTGAAAGTCCAGATGTGAGTTTACAGGTGAAATTCAGCACGTCAATGTAAGTGTAACACGCACGGAAGGGAATGCAGATCTTCACTTTCTGTACATAAGGGCTTTTTACTCAGGAAGAGATCATACTACACAGATAATCCACAGATAAGGTCTGTGCTCAGGAGTGGCTGAGAAGGGAGAGGGCAGGCTAGGAGTTATTACGAAAGAGTGAAAAAAACAAATAGAAAACACTGTCATACCACTATAAATCCATGTTGCTCCCCTCTCTTGAATAGGGTTGACAATTTTTGTTCCCCATTATAAACAGGTTGTAATGAAATTTGATGAGCTACAGAGAAGGACATCAAAGATGATCAAGGATAAGAAAGAGCTTTTGTAAAAGAGTAAGTAGCTTGGAAAAGAAATGCCTGAAGAGAATGTGGGGATGTTCTTTAAAATCACTAGTGTCATGAAGAAAGTGAATAGGTTATAGAACAGATAAGATAAACACGGCCCAAGTAAAACAATTGGGAGGCAGCTTCAAAAAACAGGAGGTGTTTGTCCTGCAATATATAAATTGCAGTGTTCATGGGCACTGCCTGTGTGTTGGGAGTTTATGTGGGTTCACGAATGATTAGGCGGTCTGTGGGAGAAAAACTTGCTGTGCAGCTTAGCAGTCAGAACAGTTCAGTATCAAGTTTTGGGCACTGACTGCTCACAAAGAATTACTGCAGATGCTGATTAAGAATTATTGCTAAAAACTGCAAACAAACCTCCACTGAGAAGCGTAGGCCGCGGTCCGTTTGCAGATAACATTGAGAAATTGGACTGGGAATTGCCCTTTGTTATGTGAATCTTGTGGCATAAGATCTTACGAAACTTGCAGCAAAAAAAACGTTTCTATGACGATCCTGTTTAATCTGTGCTTGTTATCCTTGGACTTATTAACCTGACACAATTTACGGTCAGGTTAAGTGTATCCTGTATGCATGGGAGTGCATGGGAGTGGTACCCCAGCAAGATTTCTCTGATGTTTGCAGGATTAGAACCTCTATTTATATTTTGTGGATCTTACATTGAAAGTCACGGTCCATTTGTAGGTAAAGAAATAAAACTAATCACATGTAACTCTTACTTATCTCTGCGACTAGTTTGTAAAGATTGCCCTTTTGAAATTCTATTCTTCAAAGGCCTACCATGACTGTGATATTGAGGGCATAAACCATAAGGTAGTGTTTACAGAAATTTTATTGTAGCTTATGGTGCTATAAACTGTGATTAGTGTAAAACATTTTCTGATTTGTCCTTTCAAATCACAAGTGCAAAAGCAAACCAAGAAATAAGCCAAATGGTACAGTGAATGAGAGGAAGAGGTTTATTAAGTTGCATATTCCTCATGTATGAATAACATTATGGAAAAAATCATTCAGTGTCATTAAATAATCCCCCCCCTTTTTTTTTAGAAATTTTGTTGGGACTATATGAAGGCTCTTCCTTGTATTTACTATGTGGGAACTCTTAAGATTGGAATAGATTAGTCAGTAAGAAAAACTGGAATTGGCAATTAACAGTTATTAACAGTGAAAGGGAATGCATGTTAACAGTTAAGAATTTAATGTCTGCATGTATGTGTATATATATGCACAAATGCATAGGTACATATATATAAAAATCAGATGTGTATAGCATAAATAAAATATTGTACAGCACACATTTATTATTGACAAAGGGTAAAACAGTTTTAAAACTTGCTCTTCCAATTAGCACTGGATAGGTTTTCAATTTCTTGGGAGTTGATTAAAAGATTACTGCTTTTTGAATAAGCTAGGGAGGAAAGAAAGAAGTGGTAAGCAGTAAAATAATGTTTGGTTTCTCAGTGTGTAATATACTGCAAGTCTGGCTTTGTGTGTATTGGAAATCTTCTGACCCCTTTGTTTACTTGGGGGCAGATTGCAAAAAATGTACAGCAGTTTTTAGGACAAGGCAGACGTTTTATCTTGTTGCAACTTGGACACAGGCGTCCAGGAGCAAATCCGGTGCATGTGGCGTGTTTCACCCAAGGTGCAGAACTAAATCCTAACTTCAGATTATTTTAACGTTCAGTTGCTGTTGCTGGTTGTTGGCTTTTGAGATGAGCTTGGAATAATAATAATGATTTCCATATTCTGTGCCCTTAAAGAGTAGAGCGTGTTCTGGTTTGGTAGTTTTTCAGCTAAGCTTTACAAGCTTGGTTTATAGGTCCCAACAGATCTGATGTTAGGAATGGAGTTAAGGTGTGACAAAACAGGAAGTGTCAGTTTTAAACAGTGCATGTTGTCTAACCATTTTCCCTTTTGCTGTAAAATTATTTTAAGTACTTTTAAAGACTTACATGGTTAACATTGATATAGTACAGAAGAAAGGAAGGATTGTGTATAGGTTTTGTTTTAAAAAGTGTGAAGTGTGGTTAAGTTCTGCTTTTTGATGTGACTTGAAGAGCTTGGTGAGTGTACAGAAGACAAAGTATACTGTAATACTCCTATTGATACTGGACATTGCTTGACACAATTAATGTGCAGCATTACAGGCAACCCTGTATTCAAGAATTAAGGCAGCAGTAAGTTCTTTATGTGCATTTAATGCATGTATATAACATGCATTTGGTGCATGATGTGGGCTTTTGTGCGTTTGGTGAACTGACTGCTCTTCTAAGGGTTTTTGTTGAATCATGTAAATATACTTCATATGCAACTGAGAGTTGAATCCAGTGGAAAATACTGAACTACTGAATTTAATTGCATGTGGCATATAAATCTGTAAAATCAAAATCAGTCATTCCCCACCCCCAAATGCATTCCAGAATTGTGACAGCATCTTAAAAAGTTTACCTAAAATACAAATAATTGCACAGTAAGAAAAAAGGCAGGATAGGAGAGTCATGGTTTTAAATTACTCAAAGCTTTCCTGCAGGATCTGAAATCCCAGTAGCATTACATGAAAAAGATGAAAGCAAAACTTGAGGATAAAATTGAAACCAAATATAAACAAAAGTGAAACCGACTCCATTGGTTTTCATTTCCCAGTTGGCAAAAAAGAAAGAATAAACACAGAGCAAAGGCATATGAAAGCTGAACTTGAAAAATTATTTCAGTTTTATTATTTATTTCATCTGTCATTAAATTTGACTTCAGCATGACAACGTTCCTTTAGCAGACTACACAGGAGGAGCAGGGGTTGCTCTCTCCCTGGTTTATCGGGGTACCACTTTTCCTACCCAGTGGTCTGGGTGATGGCCCCGCAGTATGGGAAATGGCGTTTTCTTCAGTCATGGAAGTAACGTTTTGAAATGCTGAAGCAAGCGTGTACAGAAAGTACAATGGAGGTGATGACATCCAGTATGATGAAAGGGAGTCACTCAGCTGGTAGATGTGCTTGAATTTTATTCTTGTTGAGATTTGAGTTGTTACATAGTATCAGGTATAAAATAGGTGGTGGGTTTTTTCTTGTTCCTCACCTTTGGGATCTGGGTCAGCCACAGTAACTAAAAGATATTATTTGTTATCAGCTGTGCTGATGACATGAAATGACTGTGAATGATTTCACTCCATTTCCACAGGTCAGTTGACAGAAGGCCCTTTTTGACCTCGAGAACTAGCGGGTGAAATAGTCAGATGGCCAAACATTGGGTTGCTATGGACTCTTGAATGAAAATCTTGGTTAAATTGTCAAAAGTTTGGGTGTTGAGGGGAGCCTTGGACAGTCGCTGCTCTGCTGGAGCTGTACTAGGGTGAAACGAAAGACTTAGGTTCCAGAGGGTTAATTCTCACACATTTGCATGCATTGCATTCGAGCATATGAAAACTAAAGTCTTTGAATGCCGAAACTGTTCTGGAGATTTGATATTGATGAGAGAAGCTGATGAAGACTAGTTTTGTTTAGTTTAATAATATTTATCCAGCCTAGATAAGGAATGAAGATGAGTTCAGTGGTCGCACTCTAGCTCAGTAGTGTTTTAGGAAACTTCCAAGATAGAAATAGCTGCTGCACATCAGAAATTGAGGTTGTCTCACTGCTGCTGGTCTGTGGTCAACACAGGATCTTAAAATGAAGAGCACATTCTGTAACTGATCCTATTAACTATTCATATCTCTATATGAAAATGAGTTAAGACGTTCCTGTATGTCATGTGGCAGCGGACAGAGTAGCATTTTTATAAAAAGGAGAATTACGTCATACCATTTCAACGAGCGTCAGTATTAAGCATTTAATACTTGGTTCTCTTTAAGTGCAAGCCTTTCAAGTGTATGTACAAAAGGAAGACATTTTTCTCTTAAATCCTAGAGTGTAAAACAATGTCTCTGAAATAACTAATTCAATTTAAATTTTGTGTTCAACACATCTGCTTCTTTCATGGTGCTATTTTTGTAACTGTAAATAAGTGCATGTGCCAGACATGTTTCCAGCTCGCAGTGTGGATGATTCAGAGGATCCCAGCCCCCACGTCTGTGCCTGCTGTGGTCTGTAAAGAAAGCATCTAAGTAAGCAGGAGAGTGTTTTTTACAAATTTGAAGTAGCGTATACTTTTCTTTACTATCTTCTCTTGGAAGTAAAGGAGAAATTGCTTCCTTGAGGGAGCTGGTTTTGGTGCTCACTGTGAGGTTAAGCGGAGGTAGTTTGTGTGTCTTGCTCTTGGTTCTGGGTGCTGCATGAATGATTAGAAATTCTGGTAGCAGAAGTGTAGGTGTGGGTTAGCTATTAACTTCAGTTTTAGAAACTGCCTTTGCCCAGACAATAAAATGAAAGCTTTAAGCAAATATTAAATTGTGCTTTAGTGTAGTGTGCAAATAGTTTTTGCTGTGTGTTGCAGAACAGTATGTTATACAAACAAAGGTAGCTGTGAGAAACAAGACCAATCCGAGCAAGGTGGATTACATCAGGTGCAGGTCATGGCCGGGGAATGTGAAAACTCTCCCTTGAACACATTTCTCAGTGTTAGCTATCTGGAATAATTTTTCTGCCTCTCTGAGTGCCTCTGAAATGTCTTTGTCTTCTCTGCCATCCTGCCGTAGCCTCACAGGCCACCACTGTGGGAACATTGAGCTTAAGGACTTTTGTTTTACAATGGCTGCTTTTCTTACACATAGCACCCTATAAAGCATTGACCATCTCCTTAGGCAGAGGAATGCAAAACAGGACATAAAGTCTGCCCAGATCTTGCAGATACTTGCATATGTGATTTTCCACTGCTTTCGAAGGGACACATGTAAGAAACATGTGAGCTTATTAAAAGTTTTAGCGATGTCTCCTGTAAACCTAGACGCAGAGCTTGTAAGAGTGTGTTAGTCAGAGACGTGGAGAGACTTTAAAAAATGTTTAAAATTAAATCAGTGTGATAAAAGAAGTGATTCTTGCTAATTGTTTTCACCAGGCTGGAAAATTCTATATGAATCAGGTGTCAAATGCTGACTTTTCCTGGCAGCTTTCAAGAACGCACAGGGTTTGGCTTCTGTGGATTCTGACTGACACAGCTAAGCAGCAGCAGCTATTACGTGTGGGGTATTCAGGAGTGGATTCATGTGTGAGCACTTAATTCCAGAATAAAATTGATTTATTGGGGGATAACTGCTCCCCAATGCAAGGAATTAGTTCTTCTCTGACAACCATGCCAGCAATTTGCTTGTTGTAAACAAGCCCTTCCCAGAGTTGTCTGAGTGAAATACAACTCTACTACTGAAAAGTCAACACCTCTTTTCTAGACAGTTTTTTGGGAAAAAATAGTTAGACATGCCAGATAATGAAGACAAATCATGATCACTCATCAGATGTAACGCATATCTTAAGAAGTAAGTAAATCAGGTATTGGACTTGTTATTAATAATCAAGTTATGGCTGCTTTTGAGACTCTTGGAGGAGATGTCCAGGGGAGAGTTTTCTGTAATCACATGCTGTTGACTCTCACTTGCATAGACCCATTGTCATCCCAGTGCTACCAGAGTCTGGCATCTTCATCTTCACTCCAGGCAAGACCTGGGAAACAAACAAAGGAACCCCCCTGGAAACAAAGTATTCCTTTAAAGGTGAAGGTAAAAGCAATCATTATGTTCTGTTGTCAGCAGACTTGCAGACACTGGTGTGTGTGCAGATGATGGCACAGAATACTGCAAAGATGATTTTTAACAATTATTTGTTAGAAGCCTGGGCCAAGTTCCCAGCTGATGTAAGTCACTGTGATGCCAAAGAAGTGAATGGGCTCAGCCACAGACATTGTGTTGTTCAAGTGGCATGATAATGTTCAACATAGGAGCCAGTGGAAGGGAAATTTTATTGTAGATATTGAGAGGTTGAGCGTTGTTTTGTTATGGCTAAATCCAGAGCCAAAAACCAGCCTTCTAGTTCTGTTGTATTAAAATAAGATAGCTTTTCTTCAGTACACTTTTAGTCTGCAAATCCAAGGGCTACCTTTAATGATGCCTGAGATCACTGCAAAATAACAACTTATGTCTTTGCTGCTGAGAGAGAATAAGCTTTGCATGGAAACTAAAGGAAAGAGTCTTGTTTTGATGTGTAATGCCTGAATCCCAGCCAGGGCATGTTAACACCCTTTGGGTGGAACAGAAATGCTATGGGGCTGATGAAACAGACTCTATATAAAGTATGAGTTCCCACTGTACGTCTTCCTGGTCATGTTTATCATGCAGTCTGTAATGCCTCAAATAATAACCATTTGAGGTATTTGCTGCCTTTGTTTCTGTGTTTTTTCTTCTGCAGGCAATGTTGAGTTGGTTGATGGGTTTTGCCCTCTGTCCCTGGAAGAACTTTTCTTCCCTCTACCTTTGTGTATCTTTCTTGGGTACAGCAGCATGAGAGGAGGGCACGCTGAATGCCTGCTTCCTCATCCATCTGCCTTGCACTTCCCTACAGGCTGAGGTAGGGAAGTTGGGTAGTTGTTGCTAACTTGAATCCAGCAGTGTGGGTTCCCAGGTGTTTCACGACCACACAGCCATGCTCCTGTTGTAGCCCTGAAATGTGTGGTTTGGGAACCTGGGAAAGCAGGTGGAGTGTTGCTTGTTGATTGCCTGTGCAGGTTCTTCCCAATGGTCAGGCTGTGCCTTACACTGGTTTGCCCAGGACCTGTGACCTCCCTCCCTGCCTGCTCTCCAATACTTGGCTTTCCATCCTGTCTTGATGAAGTTTCCTCCTTCCTGCAGGCACCTGAGCAAATAAGATACCACCTTTCCTGCCCACAGTGAGTTATTTTTCTTGGTGATGGAGAGGAAGGATATAGCATGCACATGGCATCTTTGCAGCTGCCACCAGAGTGTTAGGAAAGAGCAGAAAAAATACTTCCATTGCGACAGTGTGGATCAAGCGTTATAGCCAGTGCAGGAGCTGGGTCTGTGGAGCAGTCAGCCATGGGGTACGCTCTAAGGGAGCACAGAGCAAGAGGTGATCAGTGATAAGCAAATCTGCCAGCAGAATGGTGATGTTTCCCCCATTCCTCCTAGTCCAACAGGGCATCACAGATATTCTTGTGGAACAAGAGGCACCATTTCATACAATTAAAAGGGTAGGTTTTGCTGTCTAACTGTCCATGAATCCAAAAAGTCTCTTGCAGGGATCTGTGTGTTTTCTTGCTTCCTATCTGTTTTCCAAGCCAAGAGTCTCAGGATTTTATTTTGAACCCTTAACCCCTGCACCTCTGAGAATGGTGATACCCACTTTTCCTTGTTTACTAATCCAACTTTAATTACATGGTTTGCTGTTGGTTCCGAAAAAGATCTGGATATTTGCATAGTTTGGGGTTATCAGAAACAAGGCATGTTAGTTCTGCTTCCACAGCATCTGTGGTGAGATTCTCCTTCTCCTTGTGGCAGGAGGGAAGTGCAGTGGGCAGAGGTCTGCCTCCCCATGGACTGCAGGAGGGGGATTCCAGGCATCCTGAGTAAAGAGCAGTTCAATTGTCTGTGTTTCAGTGTCAACCTTGCATTTCCGAAGTACTTGTGAGAGGTGAGGCTAACAGATTTTCTTACCCAGGAAAAGTCTCTATCTCTCTGATGAGTTTGACTTCCAAGCAGGGCTTTACTCAGTGCATACAATTAAACCTTTGAAAGGGGCATCCACAGTGGCATAGCTGAAAAAAGTGATCCTGCATGGAAGATCCTGTATGAAGGCAGAATCTGAGCTGTGACCAAGTGGCAGAATTTTGCTGCAAGTAGTGTTCCTTAAAAAAAGATCGTATTTCCTTGTATCCTGGAACAGTCTTGGCACAGGGACAAACACAGAACTCAGTTCTCTGAATCCTAAAATTAGCGTATGGTCTCATTTCAGCATATCTATTTGGTCACACAGGGTGATAGATGCTTTTCTGAACTGCAGCAGTGTTAGCAAACAAAGGGAGTACTTAAAAGTTTATCAGCAAAGCACAAGTACTAGATAACTTTAAAAAAATAATGATTGTCAGTTCTATATTTGCAGAGAAAAGAGAAATAGATACCATGCAATGTTCTGCACATGTCCTCTGGGGAACAGATGTTTCTTCACAGCTCTGGGGTAAGGCTGTGACCTACTTCACAAATGTCCCCTGAAGTATCTTGCCCACCTTACCTTCTCACAACCATTTAGAATATGTCCATGTACTGACAAATCTTTTCACTGGGTACTCTACGATGAGGAAAGAATTGTTTTTTCAGATTTTTTTTTTTTTTTTTTTACTTTCACATATTTTTTTTAACTATCCATAGGCACAGAGTAGCTGTGTTTTCAGGATAGCATTTGTGCCTTTTGGTTATCCCTGTCAGAGGGAGTGAAACTGAAGGGAAGAGAACATCTCATACTGCTCAGATATAATGCCTGCCATGCTGTTGCTTTCACTTTCTCTCTACAGCTGCCGTAATGCTAGTGAAGAGCTCTTCATTCTCAGAGGTTACACTTTCTGTATGGCACGAGAGTTACCTCCATCAGGGAGAAAAACAAGTCAGACTTACTAGAATGTTTTGCCAGAGAGCAGGGAGGACTACAAGCTCTTTACTGAACATTATGGAGTAGAAATATTTGTATGTATGTATAGATGCAACCGTTACTTCTGTCTTTTTCTAATGTGTCTTTAAAGATTAATAACTCTTGAAAATAACCAATATTTTTCTAATATCTCTAAAAATAAATGAGTGGTGTGAGTTTCATTTTGAAGAGTCCCATAAAGAACCTTAGAAAGATACATCTTCCAAAGAAGTATAGAGCTGAAATTGAGTACAGTTTATTGAATCTAAAGGATGCTGTGGTGACAGCTACCTGCTCAATGCCCTTTGTGTGACTACTCCTAAAAATATTGCTGTATCTCTGTTTCCCTCTTTTTCACTGTTACAAGTCTTCTTTCAGCCATGTCTATGGAAGCTGGCTTCACCCATTACTGCCAGTGTAGAAAGCTCATTTTCAAGTGCAACGTGCAGTAGCAGGAGTGGTGTTACTGAGTGGCCTCCTCGCTGTCTGTGTGTTCCTAACTGGATTGTGCTGGCCATGGCTTCAGCAGATACTGTGCTGTCTGCCCTCCACAGCACTTCCTCCGAGTCACGTCTGCAGGGTTAGGACAGTTTATAGCTTGTCCAGGGGTAGCCTCCACTGTTTTTTTGTGGTATCAAGTTGCAAAAAAAAAGGCTGAACTGACAGCAGGGCTAGCACAAATAGTGCAGTAAATAAAACTTTGAAGCAGGTCAAAATAAGCCCCCTCCATAAACCGTGGCATCAGCTCATGGGCCATGTTTCTCGTATGGGGATTAGCTCCTTGCCGGCTCCCAGTGGCCTCCTCCTCCTGGCAAATGTTGTTGGGGTCTGTGTCTCACATGCTTGGTGCCTGTTTGGGAATTATTTTATTGATGTGTTAATGTCTGCTGATATATTAAGCTCCTACTACTGAAAAGGCAACCGCCCCTGCCTACAGCCCCCTTTAAGAAGGAGGTAGGTGATAAAAAGAGAAGAGGGAAGTGTTATTTGTGGAGCTACCAGCCACTGCAGGAGGCATGGTTAAAAATTGTGGTTCTTAAAGATTGGCTGTCTTCTTAAAAAGGTCTTCATAAAATGAATTCCCGGCAGGTAGCCCTGCTTCTGTCTCTAAATGAGCTCCTCTTTTCTTGTAGGGCAGAAATATGCTTTCTTAGGTCACATCTTTATTGGCAGTTGACTGTGTTTCTTGGTGATTATTCTTCCCTTCCCCCACCAGGGGACAGTGATAAAAACCAGAAGAAAAAACAGGGATTATTTTCAAGTAATGCCAGAAAGTTTGACTCCAGTGTGAGTCTCTGGGAGTGTCAAGCATTGTCCTATGTTCTCCCAAAGAGATGCTGAGTGTCAGTATTGTCCAAGTTCAAGCTGTGGACTAAAAGCACAGGAGCTTCATTCGTGGTTTTGGATTAAGGAGTTCCTCTCTGTCCTACCCAGCTGCTCCTTCCCACTTCCATGTAGGAGTGCTCTCCTCTCTCAGTTGTGGTGTCACATGTGTCTTTGAGTAGGATGAGAGCCATAGTCCAGATTCAAACAGACAGAAAAGGCTTTCTGGGAAAAGGTGTTACTTGTAAGGCTACTGAACTCCTGGTCTTGTTCACAAACCTGCATGTGCAAATAGTAGCATTAGCATGCAACAAGATTTAGATGGGACTGAAGGGTGGAGGTGATGGAGTGAGAGGTGCTCCTTTGCCACTGGTAGAGCTGGAGCTGTGCTTTCTCCCTGGAACCCCAGCTGGCTCTGCTCCTCTTCCCTGAGCATGTCCATTGGTGGCCTTTCCAAGGTGGAGGAATATGGTGCCAAATGACCCACAGCAGGTATTAAGCCAGTTAACCCAAGTGTGAAGGCTCAGGCTGTCAAAGGTAACCAAGTGTCTGGAGAGATTTGCTTAGGCCAGCAGATGGGTACCCATTGCTCAGAAGCTCACAGTGGTGGTGAACCCACGTGGGATCTGGATGGCTTGGCAGCTTAGAAGATGCTGGTAGAAGTCCACCTGTCCTGATACAAAAAATACAGACAACCTTATGTAGCTGCTTCTATGTGTAAATGTGCAGGAGAAGTGCAGTGTTAACATTGACCATTGGAATGGGAGATAGGTGCCTAGGTACTCCTGGTTTTACAGCCTGCTTCAGAGTATAACTGTTGATGTTTCATTCTCCTTAAAAGGACTGACTGTTTCTGCTTTCCTTTCTGCTGGGTAAACACTAGACGGAGGCTGGAGCAGGAACTTGGCGTGTCTGCTGTTTTGTATGGCTCACCCTAGTTTCTAGCTTTGTAGGTTTGTTTTATAATTAATGTATTCTGTTGGAGGATGAAGCTGGTTTGATGTTATGTGAAACATCAAGCTTAAAACTTTACATGTCTTTGCTGCCTGCTTTGGAGAATTTCAAAGGTCTTTACAAACTTGAATGACTTAATGGCAGAAGGTGCTCCTCCTACTCACTGATGGATGGACTAAGGGTTCTCCCACCTGCATCCATCAGAATAAGACTCCCAGTCACACCCGTTAACCCTGTTTAAGAACAGACAGAGGCTACGTTTAAGGCACTGCAGAAATTGGTGTTTCTTTTTGTACAGTTAAATCATCCATTTGACAGCTCTGGAGGAAGGGGAGATGTGGCATCTTCATTTCCCATAGGCAATTACTCAGTTGAGTTGACTTGGTGTTTTCATCACAAGGATGTTGGTGTGCAACGGCTAAGAAACCCCATATGTTTTAGCACTGTTGTGGTCAGTGCTGTCCTGATGCAAACAGATCTGGGGGTGTCTTCTAAAGACAGCAGGCATTATTTCTGTCAGCATGTGCTCACAGAGGAACACAGGGTGTGTTTTGATGAGCAGAAGTATGCTGTGCTTGCCCCTCTGTGAAAGACATTCCCCAGAGGATGCCCACCTGCAAGTTATTTTTAGCTGTGTTTGGTTTTACTTTCAGATAAACAGATCTTGGAGCCGCTTCTCCTTTCTCACAAGCCAGACCTCTTTTCTAGCTACCTTGGATTAATCTGCCTTGGTGTGTGTGATGGGTGTGAAGGTGTGTGCTGACAGCTGCAGGTGCTAATCTCAGAGGAGTCCCAGCACGATGAAAAGGAGATGAGCACTGCAGCATCTGTGGGTGAGCAGTGGGGAAGCCCCTGGGGACATGGAAGAGAAGAGATGACAGGCTCAACTCTACAGTTTTGGGCAAGACCAGCTTCCTTGTAGCAGCAATGTTGGCAGCTCTTTTGTCTCCTGAAATGCATTGCTTTTGCACAAAGGCAGCTTCTGTTTCTTCTGTGTTGCCTGTCCCAAGAGGGATTTGTTGCTGCTGCTTTCGAGACAACTTTTCTGCCTTCCATCTAATTTGTTCATTCACATGGGCTCTAAATTTGTTTTAGGGGGCTCATAATCCAGAAGACAACTCCCACTGCTAAATGGGAACACTCATCTATTGAATGCTGAAGATGATGCACAGCGCTTCCAGGAATGGTGTCAAAGTGCATGCATACTTAAAGATATCTTACAAAGAAACGCATCTAAGATAATCATTGCGTCTACTTGTTTCTTCCTTGAGAGATGAATAAAAATTTGCTCACTTTTTCAGTACATTGCCATTTGCATTCTGCAGCTCTGACCCAACATGTAGTAGGGGCAGATGGTACAGATCTCCCATACTCATTCTGCTGCCTAGAAGAGGATCATTGGTGCCAAGTGGAAGGGGCTGCAGTGGTGTGGTGGCTGCTCGCTGCAGCTCCAGGGGCTGAAAAAGCCGTACTCACATCACCCGCACCCAGAAGCAGCCTCACTCTTGTACAGAGAGGGGATTTGCACAGGGCCCAGCTGCTGTTGGGTCTTGGGTTTGGCTGTTTTTTGTGTCTGACGTGAACCCGAAAGGGAGCTGAGCAGTTGCAACTATTTTCTGAGCTATTTTAGAAACTCATAGTTACTGGACAGGGCTGTGGCTGGAGCACGAGTGACCAGCTCCACACAGTAGTAAATAAAATGCCAGTGTGTTTGCTAAGAGATTAGTGGGAGCATGGCTGCTGGTAAATTCTGTGAACACATCAAAGAGCCTTATTGTTGCACTCAGGTTTTAATTCCTTATTAATTTCAGGAAATACATGTCCTCAGAGCAATGAGAGGAAACTTTGAACGTTTTTCTTCCTCTTGTGCTGGGTGTGGGCTTGGTACTGCCTAATTGTTAGTCTGTCTGATGCCTGTACTCCCATAGGAAGCAAGAACCCATTTACATTTGTGTCATTGCTGTGTGCTTTCAAATACATGACCTGCTCTTTTTTTTTCTCTTATTTTTTATGTTTTAAGATCAAAGGTGACAAGAATAGCAGAGCAGAGAAGTCAAGAATGATGCAGAGAGCACAGATGTGAAGAACAAAGGAGAGAGGAAGGAGCTGAGCCTGGTGCGGAGGGGGAAAGGAGAAGAAGAAGCCTAAATGCAAGTACTTGAACATAGAAATGATGGGTTGCAGGCTGCTTAACAGGAGTTTAATGCGGTACTGTAATCTGCATCTAGTGCCAGTTGGTGCTTCCAGAGCGGTGCCTGAGATAGGTTAATGTTTTGAAAATTTTCTGCCTGAGGTTCAAGACTTTGGACTCTTGTGTCAATAATTTACAGCTAAGAACAGGGAAGTGGCAGCAGGGTCACGTGTGTGTGTAAGAGAGAGGGAAAAAAAGCCAGTTTGAGTCTCGACTGAATAATATAATGTGGCATGGTGTAGCTGAAGGGGATGTGAAGTGCTCACTTCCTATTTAAGCAGTATCAAAATGTAAAGTAGCAGCTAAAAAATCAGTGACTGGGTTGATCAGAGAAAGTTGGAGGGAAGGGTTCGAACGACTCAGCCAGAACCATAAACTGAGTTCAGCTCTGGGGTCCCCAGCACAAGAGGGACATGGACCTGTGGGAGCAAGTCCAGAGGAGGTAACAAAGATGCTCAGAGGGCTGAAGCACCTCTGCTCTGGAGACAGGCTGAGAGAGCTGGAGTTGTTCAGCCTGGAGAAGGCTTTGGGGAGACCTTAGAGCAGCCTTCGAATACCTAAATAGGGCCTACAAGAAATCTGGAGAGGGGCTTTTTACAAGGGCATGTAAAGGATAGGACAAGGGAGAATGGCTTGAAACTGAAAGAGGGGAGATTTAGGTTAGATATTAAGAAATTTTTTACTGTGAGGGTGGCGAGACACAGGTGCAGGTTACCCAGAGAGGCTGTGGCTGCCCCATCCCTGGAAGTGTTCAAGGCCAGGTTAGACAGGACTTTGAGCAACCTGGTCTAGTGGAAGGTGTCCCAGCCCATGGCAGTGGGCTTGGAACTAGATTTTCTTTAAGGTCCCTTCCAACCCAAACCAGTCTGTGATTCTATGAATTGCTGTGATTTAAAATGTATTTTTCATAATTTTATTTAAATTTGTGGGACAGAATCAGCCATTTAAAAGCACTCTCATTAGCAGGTGCATCATTTTAGCTAGCACAGTGATGCTGATGCCTTCTGCATGTGAATTTTTGTTACAGTTTTTTTCTTGTCAGAAAAAGGTCTTGTGCAAATGCGGGTACATGGTCCAAAGAGGTCTCTACAGGAGTGTAATTATTTTTCTTTGTGGCCTCTGGTATTCTGCCTGTATCTGCAGACAAGCTTTTGTGACTATGATGCATCTTCTTCAGGTGAAGGTTTTCCTAATCCTGGCATAGCAGAAGAGTGTTTTCTGCCATAGAGAAAGCTTTATCATCTCAGTTACTCTTTGGGGAGGCTCCAGCACAGATACAGAGCCACTGTTACAATTTTTTTATACCTGCAAAGCTGTGATAAGTCTGTACTGTGCAGAGATGGGGGAGCTGCCTGGGAGTTCTGCCTGGAAAACTTGTCCCTTGTTCACTGCAGCTCCTTCCGAGGTGACAATGCCTGTCGAAAGGATGCGGATGCGCCCCTGGCTGGAAGAGCAAATCAACTCTAACAGGATACCGGGGCTGAAATGGCTAAATAAGGTAAGGGGGGGTACATGCACATGCATGTGTTCGTGTGCTGAAGAGGGACTTTATAGCAGTGCCTGAGGTTTAGATGGCTAAACCAGCTCATTCCTGGTTTTCAAAGGGGTGACACAGGGAGGAAAGGCAAAGCTGAATGCTTCCTGCTGAACCTGTTCCTCCAGCCTTGCCTGCCAGATCTGAGGCACCCTGTTTTGGCCTGGTGGATCTGTGGCTCCTTTGAAAGCATTTTCTAACTCTTTGTTGTTGGAGCGAGCATTTCTAGAGACTCCACTAGGTTATTTTTTTAAGCTGGGAACAGATTGCTCACCAAGTAACGTCAGAGGGATGTGAACAAAACGCTCCTCTGAGGTGGAAAGCTATGTTCTGTGTTAGACTGTGAGTTGAAGCAATGATCTCGTGTTTCAGGCTTGTGTGACTTCTCTGATATTCCTCAACCTGGGAGAAAATGGGGTGACTTTTCCCTTGCCAGACCCAAACCTAATATTCCTGGTCCTGAGCTCGTGCTGAGAGCTCTAAACACTTGGAGATCACTACTGTGGACTCCAAAATGTCAGTGCTCAGTTTGATTTTTCAGTTGTCTCGATAAAACCAGGGAGTGTATTTGAGACTTTGAACTGCAGTAAACCCTGAAGTACTGCATATGTTATGTGGTATGCAGGAGAGCAATTTGCCACACTGAAAAGCATGAAACAGTTTGGGCTACAGAGGCTGCTTTATTATCAAAATGGGTGGAAGTGCACACAATCAGGTGCAGAAACAGGAGGTGCCACTCTGGTTAAGATACTCACCCATTTAGTCTGGTATCCTCCCTGTAGTAGTAGTTGTGGTGCTCAGGTGTTAATTTTTAGAGCTGAAAAATGGCAATTAAGATTACTGCTTTCAAAGCTAGAAATATTTGTGACTATAAAATTTTCAGGAGCCCTTTAAATTTCAGCTACAAATTTTGTTTCTCAGGAACTTCCTGCATCAGCGACTCTCACGTGCTGTGGCTGGGTAAATAAATATTGCTTTATCCATTCCCTAGTTAGCTGCCCTGTGAATTTGAGTAGGTCTTTGTTCTTGCATAATGGGGTCACAGATGAAGAGGAAGAAGAGATCAGTTTTTGCTGTTGTCCTTGTAATTTAAGTCCCACATTTCAGGTCCCTATGGATTCTTGTCCTCGAGTATCTCTACTTTGGTGTCAGGTCTCTCCTGCTGACAGCCCATCTCTGCCATCCTTTGTTGAGCGTTCCTGCCCAATCCTGAAGTAATTTCTCTGTCCTTAATAGGGCACAGTATTTCAGATTTGAGCATACTGCTCTTAAATATTATATCATCTGTAGGTTATGTTCATGTAACCTCTTTCAGTACACCCTGGGAACATACTTTCCTCTTTTGCTCCACAGTGTGAAAACACTGCTGCTGTGCTAAGGGCTTCATTTTGACAAGTTCGGCCCACCAGCCCATAAAGGCGTTTTGCAAGGCACATCATGTTGGTTAATGTTCGTATGTCTCTGATCTTGTTACAGGGGGTTCTGCTTTCTACTTCTGGCATAAACTGTTAGCATGCAAGAATCTGTAGAAGATTTTGTTTTTAGCATAGTCTATACTGACCAAGGCTTTTCTCACAAATAAAGTATTTTTAATTTTTTATTATTTTGTCTAAAACAAAGCGCTGGCTCCTACCAGGAAGAGAATACCAGGCTAAGTGGCCTGCCTTGACGTTTAGTGAAGTTGGATTCCCCACTTCTACCCTCTGATTTGGCGTCATTCTGGGTTGTCTTTACTGTGCTCAGCAAGCTAATTGCACTTCTGAGTATTTCTGTTTAAAAATGTTTAAACATTCATTCCAACAATGAATCATTAAACCAAAAATATTTCTATTTTTGCTGTAAATCCTGACCATAAACAAAGCCATGCATGGAATCAGTGATACAGTGTCATGTGTATCACAGCCTGTTCTTTACTCGGAGAATAAACTCTGGAGTCTGTAGGATTTGGGAGTTTGTGTGTTTTAAACAGAGTTTGGCAAAGGACAGCTCACAGTACAGAAGAGGTGGGTCAGATTAGCAAGAGAATGGCACTTGTGTGTGTGCAGCTTTTAAGGAAGTAAGATTTAAATACTGTAGAAACAAATCACCTGTCTGGGTGTGTCACCGGCTGTCTCAGGGGAATTTTTCCAAACTGAGAAAGGAATTAAACCTCTCTTGGTTAAAAATGACAAAGTGGGTACAGGTGAGTCACCTAATTCCTTCCCTGACTGTCAGTTGATCACATTATACCTCCTTTGTGCCCCCTCCAGAGCAGACCTGTCTCTGTAGGGTTTAAAAAATAAAGATCTGTGCACCTCACTGATGAAAATGTTATCCTGCTGGATGACATGAGGGAGGAAGGGAATTTCTTTACCTTCCCAGAGAGAGAACTGGGAGGTGTGAAGGAAATTACATGGTTCAGTAGAGGGCAGAGGTGGTGTGAGGAGGGGGATGAGAAGTCAGTGTTCCTCGTGGAGCTGGAAAAGGAAAATAGAGTGGAAACATTCAGAGTAGCTGTAACAAGAGTTGAGGGGCAGCCTGCTGCTTTGATGGATGCTTGGAGTACTGCCCTCCAGACAGATGCCGCTATTTGAAATTTGTCCTATGACTTTGTAGCTAGTATGTGATCTCATGCTCACTCACCTGCTTGGAGCGTTTTACAATGCTAGGGTTGCAAATGTTTGATACTACTTTCCACTTCCTGGCTATTTCTAAGAATGTGACACCTTCCCGTGTTGATGTCCTCACTGGAGATTGGTAGCAATTCCTGTTACACTGCAAAAGCTTTGTGGGTTGTGCTTTTGGCTTTAGGTGTGGCTAATTTTTTAATGGAAATACGAGACTGCTACACAGATATCCAGTGATGGAGTTCTCTACCAGGTGGAACATGGTTTTCCAAGGCTTAAGAGAAAGCACTGATGAGACTTTTCGTAATAAGAAAGCACTAACTGAAGAAGGAGATGGGTAAATGTTTGCTAATGTATGAAATCTTAATTAGTATTTGTATAGAAAGCATCTAGATGAACTAAAGCAGAACACATAGCCACTACAGTCAGCAGTCTTGCAGGGTTTCAGAGAAGATTAGATGTTTGATAGTTGATAAGAAAATCTGTAGTGTCTGTATAGATAAGTAAAATTATGTATGTATTATAAGATCACAATGCACGTGGATTCTCTTATTTTGTTATTTATATTATAATTAGTTAAATGTCCGTCCGCTTCAAGACATCTGGGATTGGGAGTAACGTTCTGTAATAACCAGAAGCACTGTAATGAGCACTTAGAATGCCATTGAGAGTGTCCTGGCACCTTCCTTTGAAGCTGTAAATACGGTTGCTGATTGCAGGATGCTATGTCTGGAGTCTTGTTCAGTCTGCTAGTTCTTATAGAATTTTTTCAATTATCATATGGAATACGAACCCCGTGATAAAACTTCCGTAGCATTTTGTAGCATTGTTCAGTCCTCTCCCTGTCACCAAGCATGAGAAGACTTTTTAATCTGGTAAATTCTTAAAGTTCTTGTTAATAGAAATAGTTTTCTTTGGAAATATGATTTTTTTCCATGTTCATTATACTCTGTGGGAGAGCAAAGGCAATGAAGTTATTCTAGCTCTGATGAATACAATAGTGCTGTGGACCACAGGATAGTGGGGTTGAGGCTTTCCTTAGACCAAATCTGCTTGGGGAAAGAAGAGAACATCTCTATAGGATGATTTAATTGTACAGCGGGGGAAGAGTAAGGAGGCAAAAGGCACATGAAAGAAGTGATGGGAATAGATTAAGAGGAGGAATGAGAGTGTGAGGGCTTGAAAGGCAATGAGGAAGGTGTTAAGTCTGTGCTTTCAGCAAATTAAAGAAAAGATGAAGCCAAGCAAGAAGGGAAAAATGCAATCCCAAATAAGTGAAGGTAAATGAGAGAAAGGATTGAAGACAAGTATTGAAGGACAATACAAAACGCAGGAGCAAAAAAGGAAAGATCACATGGGAAGGAAAGGAAATAAACCTAACCTTGACATAAGTGAAATATTAACCAGACAGACAAGGAAGAAAAGTGGTTGTTGGAGAAAGGGGAAAGGTCAAAGGATTCATCTCACCCGACCACTGACATCTGCAATGCAGTCGTTTAAATGAGAGCTGCCTGTCTAGAGTTGTTTGCTGTCATTGGAGAGAAATAAGCTTGTTTAGGGTGCAGTTCAGTTGGCGTGGCTTAGGTGGCCTCCTCAGGAGGAGGCTACATTTTGCCCTGGAAGTGCTTTTCACAGACTGACAAGTAGATCTAAACGTGTAGTTGCAGTGTTTATAGCACAATATGCCTGCATATGAAGGCAGATAATTATTCCCCTTAATAGGGAAGAAAAACAAGTGTTGTGGAACAAAGTTCTATATGGCTTTGTAGAAATGAGCATGAAGAGTTCTGAATCAGCCCTGTGGATCAGCACACATTTGTTCTGGTGTTGTATGACATACAAGCACATCTGATGCAGCATCCATTTGGCCGAGTATTCTGTATGCTAAGTGCTGGTGGGATGAGTATAGGAGACATCCTGTTCACCCTGTGAAAGCCCTTGGTCTTCCAGAGCTGGACCTGCATCCCAAAACTATCATTGTTAAGTCACCAGTGTACTATCTTCCATGAGTTTTTCTGATCCCACTGGGAATCAGTTTATACTTCCACTACGTAAGGCATGTCCTGGTTTAACTGCATGCTGTGTATTAAAAAATAGTTTTAGAAAAAGCCTTCCTTTGGATTCCTTTAAAAGCATGTCTCTTTGGCCTGAAGTTTCTAAAGTAAAATACATTCAGCTGTCTTCAGTGCCACCCCTTCAGATGCGTGTCTGATGTTTTTTATCCCTGCTGGAGAAATGTGCACAGTTGATAGATTCATATATCCATTTGCTTGGCAGAGAGATCCCTTTCCTTTAGCATCCTAATATTTTACTGGCTGAATGCTAAATCCCTTGAATTTGCTGTGTTCCTGTTGTTGTTTAGTTTCAGATGTAATTTTTCTAATCATAAGAGTGTGCTGCCAAAAGTAGCCTTTGTTTGAATGTTTAGAAATGTGCAGCACTGCATGTTTTATCCATGTGTCAGCTTGGAAAGCTGCCAGGCTCATCATTCATGAAGGGGCTTCTGAGTATTTCGTATACTTAGGGCTGTATTCCGTGTTCTGTGACGCTAGTGGATATTTTCCTATTGACTTCAGTGACAACAGCACTGGGTTAGAAGGAAGCAAAACACTTGCAGATGCTGGAACTGTGCTTTTAAATAAGTGACTTAAAGTTATCAGAAGATCCCTCAAGTCAGTCAGTGTTGGCATTTCCTGTTTGTTTTCCCTTCCAGGAGAAGAAGATTTTTCAGATTCCCTGGATGCATGCTGCAAGACATGGGTGGGACGTTGAAAAAGATGCTCCCTTATTTAGAAACTGGGCAATTCATACAGGTATTGGAACCCTCTTTCTGTAGGACAGATTTTCACGTTGTTTTCCCTTTAAAGTTACATTTTCATTCTTGTCTTTTCTTGCACTCACACAGAAAGTGAATCTAAGTTTCTAGATTTGTGGGAGGCTAAGTGCTTTTTTCAAGGTGTGCAATACTCTCCGGCTTTATTGAAGTGCCATAACTCAGTTGCATTGAGGAACACGGTAAAACTTAGTTGATTTAAATTAAAAACAAAATTGTCAGTCAGCGAGCACACTCAGCACTTTGTAGACTCGGGCCCTTGAGCTTTATATGCCTTTTTATGGATTTGAGCCAGGCATAAGGTAAATGCTGTGCAAGCTTTTCCACATTGTTGTGCAGTCGCATCTGAGCTGCAGTGTCCTGGGTCTTTCTTGAGCAGAAACTGTTCATCGTGTGGTCTAGAAATGTGCATGGGAATAAGATCACAACACTGTCTTGCATCCTCAGCTATTGTGTAAATGTTTGTCATGGGAACCGAAGGCTGACAACTTGACGTTAACCTACACTGTATTAATTTGCCTTAGGTTCTCAGTTGCAAGTCGTGTGTGCCTAACTTTCTTTTCTTGCTTAGGAAAATACCAGTCAGGAGTAGATAAACCCGATCCAAAGACATGGAAGGCAAACTTCCGTTGTGCTATGAACTCTCTGCCTGACATAGAAGAAGTAAAGGACAAAAGTATAAAGAAAGGAAACAATGCCTTCAGGGTATACCGGATGCTGCCGTTATCTGAAAGACCTTCCAAAAAAGGTAGAGGGGAGAGTTTGTTGACATGAAAATGGTGGTGGGGACATTGTTATTATTGTGGGGCCTGCAAAATGTGCCAGTTCTACTTCTGTGTGAAGCTGAACATTTTTATCCTGATATTCCCCAGAACTTCCTAACAGCTGTATGAAAAATGGGCTATGTTCAGTTAGTTTCCCTGAGCTGTAACCTGTCCCACTGTGGTAAGATTCCTCTCATAGCTCTGAGAACTAGAAAAGTTCATCATGAAAGCTGAGATTCTGTAGATGGGGGCTGTATCAGGAAAGGGTTCTGTAGCAGTTATTATAAACTCTTGACATATTTTGGGCCCTGTATATATTCTCACATGCCCTTTCTGTGTGGCTAAATTTATGTGTGAGTGAGAGCAAAAGAATTTGGCTGCAAACGTTTCTAATTCTCAGTGCTATCTTGTATTAGAGAGATTGGAGAAATTCCTGGGGCATGTCTGTGCAAACAGTGGGGTAGAGCTGAGCTTGCAGTAGCAAGTCTGAGCTTCCACATCAGGGTCTGTCAGGTCAGAGCAGGGCAGCAACACGAGGGTCTGCCAAGGCACATGACATTGTGTGAAGGTTGTAAGCTCTGTGATTCTCAAGTCACCATGATTGCATAAAATACTTGTGCATGAATTATAATACACCATCCCCCTCAGATTACAACTGTTCACAAAAATATTTGTTGAAGTTTATTGTGATCTCTTTTCATGTTATATCAATGAACAATCTGCCTTTTTTTTTATAGCTGCAGTGAGAGTGTCACAAATGTGATGAGACATACATTTAGCTTTTTCCCCTTTTAAATATTCCCCCCCTTCTTTTTTTTACAGTATTGCTGCTTAGTTTGTCATTCTTCCACATTTTTCACCTTGATTTCCTCAGTCCTATCATAGTTCTTTTTTTGTAGCCCTTTAAAAACAAACCACAAAGCCAGAATGTTCAAGGTGAATTTTTGACTGCCCAGGCCTTAGGGGATTTAAAATCAAGCAAAGTGTGTTCTCACTTTCCTAGGAGGGGCTGCCATTTTGAGGCACCTTTTGGGGCTATTTGCTGGTGAATATACAAAGTGTGAAGGATAACTCGCAGTACACAGGACTTTAAGAAATCTTCCTCTGTTGTTGCAGGAAAAAAACCGAAGCCCGAGAAGGATGACAAATTCAAACAAATTAAGGTAAGAAGTGGCTGTTTAATAGTGCAGAGCTTGTGAAAACAATCTGTTGCAAATTTTTTTAATAGCCCCAATAGTTTATTGTGGCGGATATTTGCAAATCTCTCATGCTTGTGGCTTGGTTAAGTAGCTACAGTTACATGGGATGTTTGGGTTCTTTTTAAACGTGAAGGCGGTTAAAGCCATGACTGACGTCATCAGTTGACACAGCCCTTGTGTTACAATGCCTGGAGGTTGGAAAACTGGCAGCTGCAGCAATACATTTGCCTTTTGTTTGTCTGTGTAAGTAGAAATACAGTAATTATGGAAGGAATGCTTCTGAACAATGGAGCTACCTTTTGGAGCAATTAATTGCTGTGTGTAAGGCATTGGAAATGCATTTTCTTTTAGGCAAAGGAGAGTTCTTCCAGAGCTGCTGCTTCTGTTCCTATTCTGTCAGTCAGAAGACCTCAGGTGTAAAGCTCCTGGTGTAAAGTCACTGCTGGAGATTCCTGCTTGTTCAGAGCATGGACCCAGACTGATGTTACCTTTCCCTACAAAGCATGGTGTTTTCTAGCTTTCTTACTTCTGATGAGCGCCTCTACTAGGTGTTCAGTATTACACACAGGCAAGATTTCGTCTGCCTTATATTTTTGCAAAGGTTTGCTTTCAGCCTTCAGTAAAGTTGCTCTCTTTGGGTTGCACCTAGCAGCTGTGTTTGCTGCAGAAGGGCATGTCAGAATCCTGCGATTTTTAAATTGCTTTGAAGGAACCACTTTTTAACCATCCTACCTGGGTCATGCAGCCACATGTGCTTGTTATAACATGACTGATGGTAGCCTGTGTTTGGCCGGAGCCAGTAAACTCCTTTGGTCAGAGCAGAGCAGTGTGTGGTGCCTGCTAAAGCTGACAGTAGCAGTTTGCTAATTCCCCTCCTTCATAATCTTACTTTCAATTGAAATATAATATTAAATGCATTAAAAGCTGTAGAGGTGCTTGAATGATCTTGTCCTCTTCATTAAGATTAATCTCGCAAATAGTCATTGCTGAGGGAGTCCCAGTGATGCCTGGCAGATTAGTACATGTGGCATTACACCTGGGAGTAGGTGCTGGCGGGGTGATGCTCACAGCTTTTGGAAACACTTTCCTCCTGCTTGGTTGCCCTGAGCTGCACAGAAGCATTAGCCAGGTGATGCGGGAGCAGTGAGCTGAGCTGGCCATGCCTCCAGCACAGACAGTTACTAGTGATACCTATTACAAGCATACAGCTCACCAGCCTGTGACTGTGGCATGGCCACTTGGCTCTTGTGGGCTTTGAGCTGGGGCCAGGTAGTATTCCTGTCTGTTTCCCCTTATTCTGACAAAGGTGTACACGGGCTGGCTTCCAGATATGCCTGGATTTTAAAGCAGGGGCTCCTTCCCTGCTCAGCTACAGTTAGACTGACTATTGAATGTTGAAAGCTTTAATAGTGGAGAAGGGTGGTGGATAAACTAATGCAAATGCACATTTCTGAGCATTAAAAGCTGCTTATAATTGCTTTGCTTGGTGATGTGAATTCCTGAGATCCAAATTGTGTGTTTTGCATTGAATGTCTTGCAGTTACTGTAAAAACCTCTCTTTAGTGGAGCTGAGTGGGATTCTGCTCCATGATCTGCCTGGTAAACTGCCATGGGGCAATATCAGCAGAGGGAGAAGATGAGGATCCAAGTACAGATCTGCAAAGGGACTTGAGCATAGCAAGAGTCTCATGTTGAGCTCCCGCATTGCCATTGGTGCACCCTGTGTGCACCCACAGCAACAGTGGTAAGGGTGAGGAGCCCTGCCAGACCTTGCTGAGCTTGAGCAGCATGCTTGGAGTGCTCCCTGCTTGTCCCCGTGGATGTGAGAGACCTGGGTCTTACCAAATCCCTGCTCTGCATTAGGCAGTGGGGGCTGCAAGCATGTTTCCTGCCTCACAAATGTCTCTTTACCACTGAGCTTCTGGGCAAATGGTGTCTCTCCATTGAAAGAATGAGTTCTTGACAATGGGAAAAAGCCGTAAATGTCTAAATAGCCCAGATAAAAATAAGCTCTTTGAAACATTTCAAAGGAATGAGCTGCCTGCCTTATCCTAGATGTATCCTTTTGACTATGCATGTAGGTCCCTATTGAGACATTTTTCAACTCTGACACCTTTCCTCATGTATTTAGCTTAGGCTAGGCATCTGGACACTGAAAATGTAGGTAATTTAACACCAGCTGTGCCAGCGTCCAAGCCTCTTTGCGGATCTGGCATCATCACCCAAGTTCCAAGATGCATATTTGTTTCTGCAGCTCGAAAGGGGCTACTGAATAAACTTCACGGAAACCAAGCCTCAGCAAAGCTGAGCAAAGTTCTGCATGTGCAGCATTCCTATGGGGCAGCTGTATTTACTGGGGCATTGCACAACACCAGAGGCTCAGGGCTGCAGCATACAGCCCTAGCTGTCTCTTCAGTTGTGATCCTCAGTGAATCAATAGCAGCTAATTCTATCTTTTCCAGCTCTCCAGGTCTTTGACCTGTGGGTCAACACAGCTGGTGCGGCTCCTCAAATACCTAGTTGCCATTAATACTAGCTTTGCACATTTGTGATTTGCAGAAGGGCCTTGGGAGACTGGGCATGTGTTTGCCTCACTTGATGGCTGGGAAGGTGCAAACTTGTGTCGAAGTGACAGCTCATTTTGAGTGGATCACAGTCACAGCATGTGGCATCCAGAAAGGCCTGTCATGCTGTCCGCAGTTTTTTTTCCCTGTGATAACAGTTCATATCGTTAGTACTGTGAAGGGCTGGCACCACAAGTCCTGCGGCTCACATTTGCCCTTCTCTTGCCGAAATGCTTTAAAGCAGTGAAAATGAGCATGGTGTGGCATCACATCCAACTGGCAGCCCTGCACCTTTCTGTGGGTGTCTCTGGGTCAGCAGCAAGGTAAAACTTGCCTTGCAGGGCTGGCATAGCCGGACCAGGGTAAGAGAAGACTTTAGACTTTGTAACCGATAACCCTGTAAGGGAGCCAGTACCAGGGAGGAAGTTGGACCTGTAGATAATTCTTGAGATGTGTTTATAGCTCTTTAAAGAAAACCTGAGTTTGTGGAATTAAACATTTTGGTGTCTATTCTGGAGGGGTTCTTTTAGATTCCTGCTCGAGTGTACCAGACCTACAGAGATGTATCTTGTAGACAGCTCAGTCTATGTAGAACAGGTGGTGTTTTCCCAACGCTATTGCCCTGTGGTAATGTTTATGATGCAATCTAAAAGGCTGTGTTTAGTGTAAACACTTTGGTTTGCTTTTAGGCTTGCTGCAGAGAAAAATTAAGGTTAGGATTTAGTAATTGCTGTACAGAAGCTTTCAGTAAGAGATACAGCGTGTTTGGAAGGGAATGAGGATGAATATTAAACAGAGCATCATTTTAAAGCAATGTTTCTTCCTTGTTTGTTGCAAATGTTAATCTCTTGTAGTAAATAGCACATTGATTTCTTGCTCTCTGAAGGCTCACTCTAAATCTGAACATTAAAAATAGCTTTCATCTCAAAGCAGAAGGTTTGGAAATGAGTAGACTGGCTTCTTCTCAGTGAACCAAAATAGTCATTCTAAGACCGTGTCTAGCAGAGAGCAGGAGGTATAATGGCAGGCAGAAGCAATATGATTTATTACTGGCACAGAACAAAGAGATGAACTGAGTCCAGGCTCCTAAAATAAATCAAACCTGACCCAACTGTACTGTTTTCATTCTAGCAAGAGCCAGTTGAATCATCTTTTGGGATTAATGGGTTAAATGACGTCACTTCTGACTATTTGCTGTCCTCCAGTATAAAAAATGAAGTTGACAGTACAGTGAACTTTGTAGGTAAGTACTTCTATGCTTTTCTTACATGCTAAGCATACAGGTGACTTCAGAACTCTTTTGACTCTGCCAGACTCAGCTGCCATCAGCATTTTGCACTTTGGAGAAGGTTGTGCTTGCAGTCAAGTTGACCCATTTTTCACTAGCCTGAGCCACATGAGGTCCTGGTTGCAGGTCAGCCCCACCATCTTGCAGAGGCAGCAGCACTGTAGCGGTGTGGTGGTTCCCCTCCAGAGTAAAACATTTATAGACATGCTCAGGTGGCTTTTCCTGACATGAACCTATTCCACAGGGTAGTCCTCAGCTATGAGAAGACTGTAGCCAATGTCATGTGGGAGTTAAGCTGTAGTGAGCTTGTGGTTTCCCATTGCTCAGAGCAAAGGTTTGTATAGGGTACTGTTTCATTTGGGAGATTAAACCTGCAGGCAAGAGTGAGGGATTTGGTTTTTTTTTTACTGGAACCTCAGTAGCAGAGTTAATTTTTAATGTCACTGAGCTAACAACAAGGATCAGTGAAGACTGCATTTAGAAACTGGTACATTAGGAATTAGCTGTCATCTCAGCATATGAATAATTGGTTCTCAGTAGAATTAATTGGGCTGTTTTTTGACAGCTCTTTTTGGTTGAGGTTGTCACAGCAGTGAGGGCTCATAAAAATGTGACCCATATACCATTTTTACTAGAATTACACTTTTATATATGACGAACAAGTGTTTGAAAGATATGTTAGTCTTCTGCTTGTAGAGATGGCAGAAATTATGTGCAGTGACTATTTTTGATCCCCATTTCGTAGGTTGCAAGGCTTTGCATAGTCATTCCCCTCAAGTACTTCTGTGGCTGAAGAGTTTGTGAGTAGTCTTCCTCTCTTTATGGCAGTTCATTTAATCATCTGTTGCTTTGTAAGAGTGTTAGAACACAGTTGTCACTTTGGCTGTCACAGAGTTTTATAACTTGAAGGGATAGCACTATAGTACTATTAGTGCTTCCTGTTTACTGACTGAATCATTAAGAAATCTGAAACACCCCCAAGGCCACTATGCAGTCCCAGGGAAGAAGTTTTGAACACTTTTGCTTTATTTTACAGTCTTAAAGTCAAACAAAGATTATTTAAAAGTAGTCTTTGGAAAATACCTGGTGTTCCCCAAAACCCACTAACATCATACAGTCATTATGCTGCAGACACCTTGGTTTTCTACAGTACAGTGAATCCCAAACTCCTGTATGATTTTATGACGAGATGAATGCATGTTGCACCTTAGGAGATCTCAGCAACAGTTTACAGGGCAGGACTCATAGTAGCAGCATCAACATCTAAGAGGTCTGTTGTGGAAACCAAGCAAGAGATTCAGAATAACAGAACTGAATTTGCATCTTGAGGGCATTGTTTTTCCTCTGGACTCAGAGAGTCCAGTTTCAGGGGCAAGACAGCAAGGCTTGGGTGGGTAAATGTCATCCACTGTTTAATGGCTTATGAAGTGTGCTGCTTATGCAGGCTGGAGAGAGAAGTCCTTATTTAGGATTGCAATTGGGATTTTAATGTAAATAGGGGAAAAGGCTGAAATAGATCTGTTCTGCAGAAAGGAGGGAAGACAACTGGATGAGAGGAGAGGCAAACAGCACCTGTAGTGTTTCTGACATACCTGCAGTTCATGGGAAGTTGCAGCATATTGCCCAAGTGAGCAGTAATTTTTGCTGTGCAAGTTATCTCTTGGGGTGGGTAAGAATTCGTCAGGTATTGAGGAGAAAGATAAAGCAGTGCAGATGGCTTGGTCATACCCTGACAGGGTTGCACAATATTGGTTTCACCCAGATAAAAATTCACTCTATGTATGTGCGCTCTTGCCCCTGCACCCCACTCAATAAAAGACTGATTGTTTCAGAACCAGGAAAGGTGAAATAGAGTTGAAATAAAACGTCTGGAACAAAATCCCAGTAATTGTAGTGATTCAACTTTAAAAAAAAACAACAACTCTCCAGTATTTATGTGATTTTCTTTATGCTGGAATTGTATCATAAAATACATGCCTAGGTTTGGAGGATTTTCTAGTGGTTACAAGGCAGTTCACAAAGTAAAATAATAGGCAGCTTTCCCCTGGGAGAAAAACTTGTCACTTTTGAAAAGTTGTGTTCTAGCCTTGTCAAATGATAGAAGGCAGGAATGATTGTGTGTATATACATGTGCATTCATGTATATGTATCTTAGTTCATCCAGGAGCAGATGCTATCTTTTGACTTTTTAAAAATTAATAATTAGAGTACTTGTATTACTTAACAGAAGAATTTCAAGATGCACTGGGTTTCATTGCCTGCGTTTTTCCAATCATGGGTTTAGAGAAAAATGTATTGTCTGAATTTCTAACAACACAGCACCATGTTTATACAGAGTTTGTTTGTATGAAGATCGCTCTTTTTGAAGTTTTATGCTCCAGTGAAAAAATATCTATAGTCCCTCCCTTTCTCTTGAACAACTGTGGATTCAGGTTCGCCATCCTCTGAGATGGCTCCACCACCATGCAGTCTTCTGACCTAATAGTGACTTTCTGCTCTGTGCTGGATTAATGCAGTTGTCATGTGTTCGTATTGCTGGGGCTAATGGGGGAGTTGTACAAGACAGAGGAAATAGTCTAAAGCAGCTCCAGAGAAGTGAGATTCTGGATTTTGCTACTCTTTGACTCAGTAGCTTCTTGGTACCTTGGATTATTCCCGTTTCAGAAAGGTGTTGTGTACCACAATTAATGTCTGCAAAGCACTTCAGGGCACTTGCAAATCATCCATGGTGCCTTCACTTTGTAGAAATTAATTGTGTTCCTCTGGTATTAAATAGCAGGTACCTGGGGGAATAAGAAAACCCTCTCTTAATAACTAACCAGACTGTAGCTTTCTGTCACAGACCATGGGGATTGCAGACTACAGGTACAACTGTCTTTCCACATATTATCAGTGGTATTGCAAGGATGAGTGAAAATAATAATCTAATTGGAGGAGAAAATTTTCACAGATCCATGTCATGCATAAATCAGTCATGTTTTAGATGACCATGTGGCCAGCTTTTGCATGCCATTTCTGGTCTTATGGTGCATAATTTACACGAGAGCAGTATCCAGAGGCCATGGGATGTTGGCAGCTTGCTTGGTGAGGATGCTTTCCCAGATCAGGAGAGATTGCTGTGGTCTGTATGTCCTGGTGAGACCACATTTATGGGTGGAGGAGGAGTGTGGCTGTGGTCTTCCTTGCAAAAGCTTTTGGATAGCTGGAATGCCAAGGAGGGCTCAAGGGTGTTATGTGTGAGAGCCAGGGGAGAGCTGGGCATTTTCAGTCATCACAAGTCAGGAAACAGAGGTCTCTGAAGGTGATAGAAACTAAGTCAGTCACATGAGTTTCCTTTAAAAGTGCCATTGGAAGCAGATGATGGGCATGGAAGAGAGTGCTGAGACAAAATTGAACTCACTCACATACCAAGTGTTCTCCAAGGACAGACTCTTAGAGATCCAGCGGGATTGAGGTGTGATGAGTAATCAATTTTTATTTCTAACCCTGAGTTGTAGGACAGCCTCACCTTGATGGCAGCAGCGAGGAGCAGGTGATAGTTGCCAATCCTCCTGATGTCTGCCAGGTAGTAGAAGTGACAACAGAAAGTGATGAACAGCCCCTCAGCATGAGCCAGCTGTACCCCCTGCAGATCTCCCCTGTCTCCTCCTATGCAGGTAAGCATTCTAGCATTTCTTTACACTCTTTTTTGTCTGGAAGACACTGAGTAAAAGGAGGCTCTTCCAGGGTAGAAATATATATTCATCCACATTCTGCATTTTTAATGCAACTCAAAAACTCACAGTCCTCATTCCACCTGGGGAAACAACTCTGCACATCTGAGGTGGGAAATGTAAGCTGCAGATTTTAGCCTGTGACTAATGGAAAAAGAACCTTTTTAGATGTAATGCAGAGAGGTCTTCTCATCTTTTATTAGAGGGACGTTTTCAGTGGTACAAATTATGTGCTGCAGATATAGTGTGCTCCCTTTGCCCCTGACTTACTAAGGATTAAAGGTCTTCTCTGCCTTTCTTCTGCCTGTTTCCTCAGTGCTACCGCAGTGGACACAGAGTGCTGAGGGCTGCACTAATGTTGTATAATGTAGCCGTGGAGCTGAGGCCCTGGGGGAGTAGATCTGTCTTGTTACGAGTAGTCTGCAGACTAGAACAGCCATGTAGTGGCTGATAACAAGTGGTCCTGAGAGCAGCAGAGCTGTGGACATCTGGCTTCCAACATCTGCCTCCTTCTGGGTTCACTGATATCTAAAAAAGGGTGAGATAACAAGCTTTCCCCTTGCACTGCTCCCAGTCAGGAGGTGCTAATGGTTTCTCTTTTTTTGCCCAGGGCCCCTTATTTTCATTAAACTGGTAGGAAATTCAGAGCCTTTGGCACTCATTTATTCCTTATCCAAGTCCAACAGTATGTTCAGAAGTTGTAAGGGCAGAACAGACATAAATGCACATGTGGACTATATAGAGTCCCTGCAATCATGTAAGCCTTATTTCCATAGAAAGCAGGACAAAGCCACATTTAAAAGTACAAGTTGTTTCAGATCCAACTTGTCCTTCCTTTTTTAACATGTTGCTAACTTGCAAACCTCGGGAGACAGGGTAGAAATACAAACGTCATATTTTTAAGCAAACTTAAGTATTAATTGTTCCCCAGGCAATTTACTATTTTACACATGGTTTTGCCTTTGACTCATTAGGCTGAAATTACTTCCAGATACATTTTATAAATTACATATTTATCAATTTTTATCTTTGGGTCCGAGTGAATAATGTTACGTTCTTTTGAATAGCCTCCAATGTTAGTCTCACACATGTTAATAACCAGTTATGCCTCCCAGTGTGTTTAGTCTGTAATGGCCAAAGCATTTAGAAGAGCTTTGCAAAGTGTAAGGCAGGGAATGAGGGTGCTTTGACTTATTAGCAGCTGGGAGGGGGGGCCTTGTGGAAGTCATGGTATTTGCTTGGGCTGGGATGATAGAGAAGGGTGGTCTGGTGACAGGAGAACCACCCTGATATGAGCAAATCATGAGCTACCTCCCCTAAAGTCAATGCAGCAAGCCTGCATAAGGAAAATGAGACATGGATGAAGTACTTCTGCTATCCTCTTATGTTGTCTTAGTATCCTAGTGACCTTCGGCTGGCCTAACCTATACCAGGACCTGCTAGCCCATAACTCGGTTAACACTGAGATGATTTCAAGCCACTGACATACTTCTGAATGCATCTCAAGGCAGTTCTTGTTGATCCTGGTTACTCTAGCTAGAGGCCAGTAAGAAGTGGAGTACTGCAAGGGTCAGTCCTCGGCCAAGTCCTGTTTCATGTATCAGTGAGCAGAAGAGGTGTTGGGGTACACACTTGTGAAGTTTACAGGTGATACCAAAGAGGGGACAACAGTCGTTATGCTTGAGGGCAAGGCCACCATCAGAGACCTGGAGAAACTGCAGGAACGGACCAGCAGAAACCTTACCAAATTCAGCAAGGACAGATGCCAAGTCCTGTACCTGGGAGGTACTTGCAGTAGTAGAGGCTGGAGCTGATGGGATGGAGAGCAGGTCTGCGCAAGGCGGGTGGGCAGTGAACCGAACGTGAGACAGTAGAGCACCCTAGCCACAGAGAAGGCTACCAACTTTCAGGAGCATGGCCAGGGAAGTGATTAGCCCCCTCTGTTCAGCAGTAGTTACGTTACTTTCGGGTTGGGTCCAGTCTTGAGCCTCCCAGTCCAAGAAAGACACAAACAAAGGGGAGAGAGTGCAGGGAAGGGCTACCAGATGATAAAGGGCTGGAACTCCCTCTGTGAGGAGATACTGAGGGACTGAGGCTTGTTCATCCTGGAGAAGAAACGGTTTTGAAGACCTCATAGCAGCCTGCCCCTACCTTCAGGGATGTTATTGAGAAGATAGAGTCAGGCTCTTCACAGTGGTGTGTGGTGGGATGATGAGGCATAGCAGGAATAAACTGAAGCAAAAGAACTTGGTCCAGCTGGATACAAGAAAAAAATGTCACGTTTTTCAGCACAAGCACTGACAGGCAGTGGAGCAGGATGCCCAGGGAGGCTGTGCTGCCTCCATCCTTAGTGGTTTTGAAGACCTGATTGGATAAGGTTACAAATAACCCAACCCTGTCCTATAGCTGGCCCTGCTTTGAGCAACAGGTTGAGCTATAGATTTCCTGAGGTCCCTTCCAGCCCAAATTGTTCTGTGAACCTTTATTTCTGAAGCATGCATTTGTCCTTGAAGCAGGAGAGAAGACAGGGGTCTATGGTTTCTTAGAACCCTGAAACTTACAGGACATCTTGTGACTATTTCTGGCTTTGTCTTGTTCCACACAAACCCTTGTGAGAACAACAGGAGGCTCATGGTTTTGCTGGGTTGAGCTGCCTGCTCTGTCAGGTGCTACTGCTGAATGGGAGGAAAGAGTATGACCATAGCAGCTGTGCTGGAACAGTTAGCTTAGCTCTTCTGAAATGAAAATAACAAAAAGTAGTCTGAGGTTTCAGCTGTCCTGCATAAATCTGTTTTATTTCAAAACCACCTCTAGCTCCTTTCTGAGGTTACTCAGGCAAATGGTGTGAGTGGCCCTTGTGAGTTTTCTCATATTTCTGCTGATGTCTGTGAAAGTCATTTTTTTAGTACCAGGGCTGTTGTCAGCCTCCTCTTGTGTTTGACACTGATTCAAATAATCTTTGTGATTGAAATAACCTAACTTTCCATGCCCGAGTGATTAGTTTCCCTGGCTTTGCTAACTGTAGTGCTATCTCTTGCTCAGCATTTTGTTATGTATAAACACCAAGCATAGATTCCTTTTCAGCTGCATCACTCTTTTTTTGTTGCCACATGTTTCTTCATGTCAAGGAATATCTTTTTTTTTGTCTGTAAGTGGATTCCTTCTATTGATTCTATCTCTGGGGCCATTTTTTCTTTACATGGATTAATTTCTGCCTCTCCTCTCCCCAGTATAGTTTACTTAGCCAGATTAATCACATTGGCACATCTCTCTTTACCTGGGTCAGTGAGTGAGAAGCCCTGTAGAGTGTTAACTTCACAGGACTTCACAGTTAGATTCAACATTTCAGACTGCTCCTTTGCATGCTGCGGCAGAGACTCTGGTGTAGGGGAGGTACTGGCTTTGGAAGTCATAGTCTGGAGCAGCTTGCTACCTCACCTCAGAAGGACTGGATGCAGTTTAGACCCTGAGGTCTGACTATTGATTTACAACCCTCTGCCTAAACCTAATGCTTAGCCTGAGAGAACAGCAAGGCACTGCCAGTATCTCTGAAGATGTGGAGGGGCACAATCCACGGTAGTCTGTGCACCCCTAGCACTTACGTCCAGTGCACAGCATCAGGTTGCTCTCTGGGAGGGCAGGATCATGGTTTATGGTCACAAGGATGCAGGGGCTGTGCAAAGCAGTCTGCATGGGCTAAAATGCGTAATGCAGAATGGAGAGTAGAAAATGGGACTTCAGAGCTTCATTACCTGCTACAGTTACTCATCACATTATGCCATCAACCTTGTAATTTCTGTGTTCCTTTTGGCTTAAGGTGTGGATAAGCCCTCTCTGTTCAGCCATGGTGCGGCTTTTTCAAATGCTCTGGGTAGCCTGATACATGCCTAGGAAACAGGACACATGGGTACAGAACCCCGTGAGCTGAAGGGGACCTGCAGTCCAAGCCTCCACTTTCCTGGGTGAGGGTCTGGGCACTGGGCAGCTGTGCTGAAGGCAGCAGCCATTGCTTCAAAACTGGTTCTGAAAAGAGGGGTTTGTGCCCTGTCTCAGAGGCGCAGAGCCCCTGGGCCAGGAGCCTGACTCTCAGGCACTGGGAGACCTGTGTTCAGACGCACATGGGCTTGAAAATACAGCCAGAATTCCTGGATTTCAGTCTCCTCTGCAAGTGAGGGATACAGCAGCAGGGGAATGGCTATCCTGCTGAAGCTGTGTGCTCCTGTGTTTGTGCTCTGGTTGAAGTGAGGACGGTGAAGGAGGCCTTGTACAGTGGAGGAAGGTGATGGGGCTGGAGAAAGCAGCATTTCTTCTTGCTTGAGTGGTGGGTGAAGGGTTGAGAAATAAGATGGGGGGGGCGCAGGCATGGGTGGCAGAAGTGAAATGAGAGCAAAGTATAACAGTAATGAAGCACCAGAAGTCACAACAAGCCCTTGAGGCGGCAGGCTGAGATAACAGTTCATGAAACAAAAACACACTTATCTCCACTGGGATGGAGTTATTGCTGGTTTTGAAGGGAGATAAAATAAGGATTTGGACAGAACTTTGCTCTTTGCCAGGCCTGAAGCAGGAAGAGGGGGCATCCTTGCTTGCCAGAGGCTCTTCCTTCTGCTCAGAATGCACAAATCTACTTCATCCCTCTCCATTGCTGTCTTGTCCACGGTATAGCCATGCTAACTGTGATAACCATGTAAATTTACCTCAGTTGTTCAGTGCAGCTGTGCTGTCTAGCCCTTGGATCTCTATTGTGAACCGTTTTTTTCTGGTTGTTTGACTTGACTCTGCTTGCTTCTACTTGTTGGAAATGGATCAGATCTCTTGAGCGGGATTTTGCTACTGTAGATAGAATAGTGCAAGTTTCATTTTTGGTTTTGTTTTGTTTGACAGAAAGCGAAACAACGGACAGTGTTCCAAGTGATGAAGAAAGTGCAGAGGTAAGAGTTTTCTGGGATTTTAGCACCTTGGAGCAATGTCTCAAGAACAGTGTCCTGGGATATTCTTCCCCCTCCTAATAGCTGGGGAAGAAAAACAAGCCAGGAAGATTCAAGGGAGACAGACATTTTGATGATTGTCACAGAATGAATCTGTACAATTTCTTTCCTCCTCATCTGTCCAAACTACAAGGAGATTAATTTGCATCATAAGATGTTCTGGAGAGCCATCAATAGTCCCAGCTAGTTTGTTAATATGATGCACTGACATTGCTGGGTAGTGAGCATTTCATCTTGGTTGAAACCGTGCTCACTTTGTTTTCCTTAAGTGGCTCCTGAACTCTTGCAGTTGGAGGAAATGCTTACACGTATAGTAGAAATGCAGCTTGAATGTTTGAGATATGTGAGGCAAAAAACATTCCTGAGCACTCATTTGGGTATTGCTGGGTGAAAGCAATCAGTGGAACAAGATCCTTTGCAACACCAGAACTTGCCTTTTTCTTCTGAGGCTGATATCAAGTGACCGGACCTGCTGATCTCCATGAGTACACTAGATGCCACGAGTCCCCTGAGGGCACTTAGAAGCCCTGTGCTGCAGCTGCATTTTTGCAGGAGGGCTCTTGCAGATCTCTCTCCTGCTGTGCCCTCAGAAAGCCCCTGAGCTCTTGGAGAAGTGCAGGTTGTGTGCAGCTGTGTAACAATACAGCTGACCTTCTTGCTTTGTCTCTTGTGCCTTGGTTAGGGTGAAGACCATATGTAGACTGCCAGTAATGACTCCCCAAACCTCATCTGACAGAACATGCCATTGTGGCATATGTGATGGGGAAAGGACTGGAGGCACATCTTTCCTTGGTGACCCTCTGCCTGTGATAGGGGACACACCATCAAGTGACAGTGATTTTCCTGGCAGCTTCGCCAAACTGTGTTGACAATTTGGGTGGTGCTGCTTGAGAGGTCTTGGATTTCTGTTGCCTGCCTGTTGGCAAGGGCATACTGTCTCTGGTAATGAACGAGACACTTTTGTTTGAAGTGTTTGGTCATCCATGTCTATTTTTGTGTCCAGCATACTGGGAGTAAGGCCTTTATTTTCCATCAGAAGAGTGGGCAGAACCTCTTGAGTGCTGGCAAGCCACTAGGGTTTAAGCACACTTCAGAAAGGGAAGTGTCTGAGAGCAAAGGCATTCAAAGCCAGTGGCCAGAGGCTCTAAAAGCCTTATGCTTTTAGAGATGGGGTAATTCTTGTGCAATTTGTGAGTGTTTCTGTCTTCATCTTGTTACTCAGAGCACTTCTCAAAGTTGCATTTGCTCATGTAGTCTTCCCTCCTATTTCCCCCACTTTTCTAGGGACGACTTCATTGGCATAAGAGAAACATTGAAGGCAAACAGTATCTCAGCAATCTGGGAACGAGGAACACTTCTCATATGCTTCCGAGCATGGCGACTTTTGTAGCCAACAAGCCTGACCTCCAGGTCACCATCAAAGAAGAAAGCTGCCCACTGCCTTACAACAGCTCCTGGCCCCCTTTCCCAGACATCCCTCTGCAACAAGTAGTGTCCACAGCCTCCACGAGCAGCAGCCGGCCAGACCGCGAGACTCGGGCCAGCGTCATCAAGAAAACATCAGACATCACCCAGTCGAGAGTCAAGAGCTGCTAAGCCTTTGACAGTGTGATTTTTTTAGCTTTCTTTTGTTTGGTTTTGTATTTTACGTTTCTCTAGGTGAGGTTCATCCCTTGGCGCACACAAGACAAATCTAAGGTAAAACCTTGGCAATATAAAACATTGCTGTGTCCGACTCTGCTTGCCAGAGTGTTTTTAACTCAGGACTCCAGCCGTCAGTATGTACACCTGAACCCAGGTGGATTTCCAAGGTTGCTATGTAGGAAAACAACCCCAGAACTTTGGCTCACTCGCAGGTTCCAGTGTTTCATAAGAGGACCAACCAACCACAGGGGAAGTGGTGCTGCTGCGCTTCTTGCTGTCAAGGCTGTGATGGAACTGAAAGCCTCGGAATGGAAGAGAAAATGTGAACTAGCTGGAATATTTTTAAATAAAGAAAAATCTATTGTGAATATTGTACATAGTGCAGTACTAGCAACGTTGCAGTCTGCTTCTGCACCTTATTAAGAAAGCACTTACAAAAGGCCTTTTATTACCTTGCTCTACTTAATGGCACATTGAAGGTCCCTCCCCACCTGTATTCTTTTCCAAGGCTATTCTTGCTAAAGTGTCTTTAAAGAATAGAGGAAAGGAAAGGAAGTTAAAACTTCCCATGTGGATTTCATATGTTTTAAGACTGCTTTTATCATGTTTGTTTCTAATCTGCTATGCTTGAATGCCGCGTGGTACAATAGGAAAAAAGAAAAGAAACCTATTACAGAGATATTATGCAAATTCCCAGATTTAAAAAGGAAGAAGAAAAATAATTCTAACCAGAGCAAGCTTTTTTATTTTTTATACAGGGGAATATTTTATTCAAAGTAAAATTCTAAAGTGAATATAATTTTTTTTAATCTTTTCTACAGCAAATTTATAATTTTCAGATTCAGTCCTTGGTTATCAGCAGTTATTACATCCTTGTGGCACATTTCTTTTGTTTTTAATTTTGTAAAGGTGAAATAGCTTTTATGAGCTCATGTAGCAATCAGATTATCCTGTGGATTGATAATAAATATGGTATATAGTTAAATTTTTAATAATCCTCTTGTTGGTCTCTCTTTTTTTAATCTTTCAGAAGCCCCAGATGGCATGGGTTTGACAGAGGAGTGAGACCCTCTTGGAGTGAGCAATAGTGTGAGCTGTCTTTACAACTTCTGGAGTACCCATCTAACAGGGTAGGAAGTGCAACTCCAGGCAACTCAAGGCAGAAAAAGGAACTAGAGGTTAAAGGTGGTGGACTCAAATTTGGTTTCACGTGCAGAGGCTGGGAGTTGGGGTGCCTCTTCTGCTGTTATTCTGTGGCTGGGCTTTGAGCATGTCACTTCATGGAAGGAATCTTGTGAAAGTCCATCACCCACCCAACACACAGGCTCAGCTGTGTTTGCCCCATTCCTCATATATCTCTGTTAAGCTTGCTTACAGTTTCCTTGTCCAGAAAAATCTCTTTTTGCAGAGTTTCAGGCAATAACTCCTTATTAGTGGAACGAATCAGAGGTCAGATAAACTTTCCCTCAGGCTTTTCACATCTAGAGTGTGATGACAGATTGTGATTCCTCTGGGTTCATTGGGGGAAACTTGAGTATTTAATTGAGTGTGCAGTGGCTTGCAGGGTTGATGGTGGAGGTGGTCAGGCTGTGCCATGAACTCTGTGAAGTGCTGTACGCTTCGGGATATCACTGGCACAGCTGGCTATTGAAAAGGGAAACCAAACAGATTTTGCTGTGTTCTTAACCTGGTGCCAGGATTCTAAATTTCATCGCAAGTCCGTGTGAAACTTGCAGTTTAGTCTTGCCAGCCCCCAGCCTGGTAGGCTGGGAAGGCAAGGTTAGAGCTTTGGTTAGGGTTGAGAGGAAGAGGAAGCCACGAGCAGTGTTTGAACTGAGGCTGAAAAGCATTACTGGTTGCAGCCATGCTACGTAAACTTTCTGGTCTCTGTCCCTTTCATATGGTTGTGCGTTGACCCTTCCAGTGGCCACAAGGTTTGATCTTCCTCAAGGAGCTTTTGCCTGTGTGTGTGCACAGGGTTGTTGCAGTGAGTCTCCAGCATCCCTAGTCCTTCACCAGCAGGGTTATGAGGCTCATGGCTGGCTGCTGTGTCTTGTTCTGGGGGCTCACTTGGATTGATTTTCATATATTCTCGACATGATCTGCTTTGGGTTTTGGAAGTTTTTCCAAACAGCCCCAGTAAAGATCAGCATCTCTTATCCCCTTGTAAGATGATGGGCCCTTGTTTGTTAGGGAGGGACCTCATAGGGTCACAGGCAAGCCAGGGCTGGAAGGAACCCCTTGGGGCATATTGAGTCCAACCTTCTGTTGAAAGCAGGATCTTGGACTAGGTTATTCAAACCAAGTCTTGAATATTTCAAGCAAGGCTTCATGAATCCCTTTAATCATGTAGTGAGTTCCCTGCCCTGCAGCTGGCCGTCAGGGTACTGTTGTGGTTAGGGCTGGGAGCTGCAAGGTGAAGTGTGGATGGAAGGGGGGTCTCTGAGGAGACCTGAGGCCTGCAGAAGAGTCATCTGATGAACTTTTGTTGTGAGAAAGGTGGGCTTGGGGTAGGTAGAAGGGACAGCCCAGAGCTGCGGTTGTGCTGGGGCTGGAAAGGGGCAGCCAAATTCAACAGAGGGCTGATGTTGGAGCCCTCCTCATGGGTTTCTTTTCGGAAAGGAAAAGCTGCAGCTTGGGTCTGATCCTAGGTGTGGGTGTCAGGGCTGAGGGAAAGAGGTGGGTTTCTTTTCGGAAAGGAAAAGCTGCAGCTTGGGTCTGATCCTAGGGTGGGTGTCAGGGCTGAGGGAAAGAGAAGGCTCAGTTGCGTGGGGCTGGAAAGCATCATGCAATGTAAACTAAGTGCTGACACTCATCTTCTCCTCTGAGGAGTATTTAGTCTGTGGACAGAGAGAGACTTTTGCCTCTGGCACAGCCTGGATTTAGTGTTGAGAGTTATGGCCAAGAGAAAGCCCAGAGGTAGGGTTGTGTAGGGACTGGAAAGCATCTTCCTGAGTAAACAGAGCTGACTCAAAGCTTTTGCTTTGCTGCGAGGAAGGCTGCTGTTTACATCTGCCACGGCCTGCTCTCTCCCCACTGTTCAAACTGGTGGTGTTAAATGTTGGCACAAATCCTCCCTGACCTCAGTATTCTGTGTCCATCTGAGATAGGGAACGTATTTGCCCTTTATGGTGAAACATTTTGACTTTTTGAGTTCTCCAGGCTCGCTTAGGTGCCTGCATGGAGCTTGGCCTCCTACAGGGCTGCCAAAGAGGAGTGAGGTCTGAGCTGCCTTTTCTGTGTGTTCTGTGTGACTTTGGGTGAAAGCCTGCCTTCAGCCAGCCCAGCTGGTTACTGGGGTAAAGAGATGATTGCCCAAAGGCTGCCAAGTGATTCTAGGTATATAAATGCTTGTCTGCAATGTCAACTGTCACTTGCCAGGAGAAGGATTTACCATTCTTAGCATCAGCCATCTGAAACTTAGAAGTAGTCATCAGGGAAAGGCAGGCATTTTGAGTTTAACCCTTTAACCCATGCATTAACCTTTACATAGTTAAAGTGAGTTCTGTGGTCACATCTCACCTCTGGTTGTTGCATGTCAGAGATGGTGCCAGCATGCTGATGGCTGGGTAACTTGGCTTGCCCTCTCCTTGGTCCCACTAACCCCCACCCTGCACAACAAGAGACACACGGACATACCTCTGGGAATGGCATGCAGACTTGGTAAATTCCCCTCTTCCCAAGGCTTATGTGTTTGAAGCTCTTCCAAGAAGTATCCAAGCACGGGAGTTACAGAGAATATCTACCGCACAAAGCTGGTGATGCTGCTGTAACTTGCTCAGACCAAAAGCAGTTGGTGAACCGCAGGGTGATGTAAATGCAAAGGAGGATTTCTTCAGGCTGGGACGTCAGATGTTCGTTCTGAAATGCAATGTTTAATTACATTTGCTTGCAAAACTATCCAGTCATAAAATTCGGTATTGGCCCAACTGCCGATTTGGTTCTGGAATGCTGGAAACCGGGTGCCTGTCCATGAGCACTACGAGTACTGTCATAGTTAATCTTGTTGTGCAACTCTGTGATGTGGTTAGCAGGTGAGCTGAAATTGCCCTGAGCAAGGTAAGGGCCAGGCCCTCCTCTGCAGCACACACAGGGCTTGTGGCCAGGGTGCTGCCCATGCTCCGACAGCTCAAGCAGGCCCCTTCGGGGGACCTTGGCTAGCAAGGTGCCATGATAACAAGGTCTCTGTTAAATCTGATCCCTTCAAAGGAGCCGTCTGCGGGGCTCAGGTGGGATAAAAGTCATCTGCAGAGCAGCAGAAACGGGGTAGATGGATTTGTTTAGGATCTAGGCTGTGTTCAGAGGTGTTTCCTGTGGTGGGGGATATTGCTGCAGCCACCCTGTTGGTTAGGGCACTCACAGTCTCTCCCACCACCCAGTTTCCTTATGAGCTTCCTGTTGAAGGGTTAACCTACACAGCCGCCTCTCCTCATTGAGGGCCTGGTGAGAGCTGCCTTTTCTATCCAGGCACGTGTTTTCTCAAACCTTTAGGAACTTTTCACCAGTAGCACACATCGTGCTGCAGAGTTGTAGAACACTTTGGGTCAGCGGCACCTCTGGAGGTCAGCTGGCCCAACCCATGCTCCAAGGCTTCAAAGGGAGGTCAGGTTGCTCAGAGCCTTGCTTGGTCAGGTTTGGAGAATCCCCACAGATGGAGACTGCTGCCTCTCTGGGCCCATGCTTGGGGGTTTCACAGTGTGAGCGGGGTGGGGAGCATGGTCTGATGGGGTTCCATAGGAGAGCATGTGTCTCAGGTCCTCGGGAAATCAGAGGTTTGGTCCATGCAGCTCCAGGCCCCCATGGTATCAGCTGGGGACCTGGCTGCATGAGATACTGCAGCCACAGAGAGAGCTGCTTTGAAGTCAGAAGTGAGGGGTGATGGTATGCAGCAAAAAGGGGATGATAGAGCACAGGCTCCTCCTGTATATTCACATGTACCACAAGGGGAATCATCCCTCTTTTACCATGGGTGCCTATTTACCACAAGGGGAATCACCCCCCTTTTACCATGGGTGCCTTTGCCCTCAGCTGTTGCTCACATCCATCGCCTGGGCTTGTGTTCCTTGTGGTTTTCAAAGCTGACTGGAGGCAGCCTACCCTCACTCAGAGAAGCGAGAAGCAAGAAGAGTATTTCTGTAGCACCTCAGGGAAAAAAGAGGTCAGGTACAGGGTCCTGGGGATTCGAAAGGTGCGAGTCTGGTGTGCCGTGACATGCTCTTCTGCTCCCATCCCAAACAGGAGTCTACTGAGCGAATGGTGTCTTGAGGTGGATGGTGTTTTCATAGGGGGAATATGTATGTCTGCATATAGGAGATGAATTTACAGGCAAAGGAGTGAAGGGAAGATGGGTTAGAGGGGCTGTTTGGAGGTGCTCTGTTCCCTTGCCCAGGAAAGCTAAGCCCAGCCATGTCTGGTTTTTCCAGGAGAGTTTAAAAATGGAACATAAGCAATTTTTTTTCCTGGGTTTGGAAGCTGATGGAGGAGTCCTGTGAAGGCAGGACCATCCCTGTGTAACACAACTGGAATAATGGAAAAAGTGAGGGAGAACAGGGAAAAAAAAAAAAAGAAATAATGGCCGCAAGCATAAATGTATCCAGGTGTGCTTATGAGTCACATAGTGTTATATCCCAGCTTCCTGCTGGCGTCTGGGGCTGCCACTCCTGATGTCCTCCTGGAGCCGCCCCTCCTGATGTCCTCCTGGAGCCAGACAAGATGCTCACACACAAAGACACTCAAATCCCATTCAGAATGATGATGGGTGACAATAGTTTCCCTAGGCCCAGGCCCTTACTTTTTCCCTCCCCAGCCAGTATCAGTGGTCTCAGCTCTTGCTTGTGTGTAACCATCCGGCCATCCTCCTCCTTCCCTCTCCTCCATGCATCAACACCAGAACAGGCACTGAGGCTTGGTTTACATCCTGATTCACTTGCACTTTTGTTGGAAGTACCTGGGAGACGTTTTGGGTTTCCTCAAGGCTTCTTGGAAGTTTGCTGTA